TGCAGACTATTTTATTAGATTGGGATAAGCTGCAACGGTAGTCGATTCGATTAATCGGTCCGTTCGCGATTCGTACACTCGCGATGTTAGTTCGAACGACTAACAGAGGGAGAGAGGGCGCGCGAGGGTTTAAATATTCAGTTAAGCCTCAGCTGCTTTCGTAATAGAACCGCTAATTAGTTTGCACAGTTATTCGCCGTTTTTTATACAAAGTATTCCTGGTATTTGATACGTGCGTGAGTGTAGCGAGGAAACATCGCAATAGCAGTATTCGAAGTAGCAGCAGCTAAAGCAGCAAATATTTGGAATCGAGCGAGGCAGCGACTTTTTTTTTACGCTTAGTTTTAGTTTTTTTGTGATTTACTACGTCCCTAGACATTTTAAAACGAAGCGTAAAAAAAAAGTTAAATTCCTTTATTTTTTTAATGCGCTAAAAAACCGAAAAAAAATTTTTTTTTCTATTTCTTTATTTTGACTTTATTTTCGTATTCTTGGGCACAAAATGAAACTTTTTTCTCCTTGGCATTGTTTTCCAAAACGTACGCAAGCCGAAGTAATTGAGGATTGAAAAAAAAGGTTATTTTTTTACTAAAACGCCGTAACTCGGTTAAAAAACATCGGATAGAACCCCGCGGGGGCTATTCTTAAAGAGAAAGACATTACCCTCCGACCCCCTCCGGTCGATTTGCCCTCCACCGCCTGGTTCTAAATTGGCATTGATTTAAGTCGAGGTTAAAAAAATTGAAATTTTTTTAATCAGTTTTTTTACTGTAAACAACACATATTTTCATTTTTAAGTCTCTGCACGTCTTAAATGGAAGCTTTTGCAATTACCTTTAAAATGCCCTGCTGTTTTTTGTGATACGATGATTTCCGACCGAGATACAAAACTTTCAAGTTTGCCTAATTTTGAGGTAAGCATGGCAAAAGTGATTGACGGGCAGTGTATATGTGATAAAATTATAGTGTATATGATTAATAAATAATTTATTTAAAATTTTTATGTTCTGTAGGTATAAGGATATAAAGATAACACTGGCACACAAAAAAAGTGCTCTGTACTTTTGGCAAAATATGTAATGTTACGTATTTTGACTCGTTGAATCCGAATCTGTCGTCAGATATGCTAATATACGTCCAAAATCTTGCGCCAAATCGAAAAATAGCTCAAAATCGTGAAAAAACGTGGAAAACCTACATTTTTTACTGAGACATCAAGCACTTGAATTTTTTTACATGTAGAATAGACATGTTTTTTATGTATTCTGATGCACTGAATTCGAATCTGTCATCAGAATTAATTGGACACCGCCAGTTTCTCGAAAAAGTCGAAAAATAGCTTCAAATCATTGAAAAATGCAGAATATCGATATTTTTCACTTTGAAATCGAGTCATACAATTTTTCCACCTAGAATAAGCATATTTCTCAAATATTTTGACCCGTCCAATCTAATTCTGCTATCAGAATTGACCAGACATTCCCAAGTCTTTTAGAAAATTCGAAAAACTTCTTGAAATAATGAAAAAATGGGGAAAATTCGACATCATTTAGCGTAAAAGCATCATGAATATGAGATCGTTTCTACACAGAATAAGCACATTTCTTACGTAACTTGACTTACTGAATCTAAATATGAGCTCCTCTCAGCTCTATTACCCTTCCAAATTAGAAAAAATTTGAAATACTGCATAAAAAATCGATAATTTTAAATGTAACATAGACAAGAGTTAGAAATATTCTGATTTAACTGTTTCGATCTGGTCAAACTTATTTCTCAAGTATTTCAACGCGCTCAACCTGCCTATAGAATCATTTCATTGAATATACGATCTTATAAAATATAAAAAAATAAACAAATACTCGAAAAGAAAAGGAGTTTACAGTTACTCTCTTTTTCTCTTGTAACATAATTTTTTCTCGTCGAACGATCTATGGAGTAGGTTTCTCTTTCTCTTCTCAGTCTCTCGATCTGTTTTTCTTTTTAGCCTCCAACAGAAATCTGCCACTATGTTGTCATCCCATCTACCTTGATATCATTTTTCCTTTTCACTTATATCTTGGTGGAATCGCTCACCTTGTTCTTCACTCAAATTTCCCAGATTTTCAGGAAAGTAATCAATGTGCCAGTGTAAAAATTGCAGTTTGAGGTTCATTATCCCACGTCTCTGTAATTTTTCAACCCTTCGACCAAATTCTGGTAATTTTCATCCTTTTTGCTTCATAGAAATTTTTGACATACATCTATGAAACTCAACCAAGTAGCCTTCTCCTTGTCATTCATCTTTGTCATGAAGTTTTCATCTTTAATAATAGTTCGAATTTGGGGATCAAAAACACCTGCTTTCAACTTTGTATCACTAATCAGTGAAAATTTTTTGCCTAAGCATCGAAAATAGTCGCTGCGTGTTTGATATTCTTCGATCTTAGATTAAACTCGATTCTCTTTGGCCAGTCTTTTTTAACATAATGATTAGTTTGGTTTCTGCTATCCCACAAGCATAAGAAGCAGAGATTTTCTGTATAACCTGATTGTTGGCCTAGAATTAAGGTTGCGATATTGATACCATCGCAAAGTTTTTACTGATGATCTGAGTAGTTTATTTTATTCAAAACTATTTTGAGGTTTTCATAAGTCTTTTCAGCTTTATAGAATGAACTATAGGAATTGATGCGAAATTATTTCCGTTATGAAGCAATACACCTTTGAAACTTCTTTTTGATGAGTCGATGAAGAGTTTCCACTCTTCGTTTTTATAAATATCTGGCTTTAACCTTTTCAGGGGCAGCGTATCATACATGTTACACCTAAATTTTTTCAGTTTTTTATCAATACCGCGACCGTTTTGAGCTCAATCGCTCTCGAATAAATTTCTATACTATCATTAGTATTTAGGCTTCGTAATGCTTTGATTAAAAATTTGAAAATTTATTTATTCAATTATTCATAAACAATCAAAGACAAAAAATTTTCAGTTTTTTTGAATAAACTCGGCGTTGAACAGAGCTTTCAAGATAATTACATGAAAGTTTGTATAAAAGGGTTTTTGAAGGCTCTGATCAGAATATACGAATACGAATCATAATACGAATCCGATATCAGAATTTGAAAAATCCAATATCCAATATGGCGGCTATTTTAGGTTAGAATTGCGGTTTTCTGAGTATTTCACTTGAAAGATGGTATAAGAATATTTATAGGCTTGCTCATTATGAATATGAATTTGTAATTCAAAAATTTAAAATGGCGGACCCAACATGGTGACTAATTTCATTTATAACGAAAACCTAATTATATAAATTTTAATTCATATAAGCTTCAGTTTGAAAATTATGTTCGCCATATTGGATTCGCCATTTTGAATTTTGAAAATCATACTTCAGATTCGAAATTAGCAACCCCGAAAACCTGTATATACACTTTCGGGTTCGGGATCAGTGCAACAGAAGAAAGTGCCCTTAAAAGGGTTAATTCATCAATCAGTTTTTCACATTTGAACAGTACACCAATGAATTCTCTTCGTCTCTTGTGAAAAATTTCCGAGAGTCTTTCTCTCTGTTTATATAAACATAAGTTTTTGTTTTTTCAGCCAGTAAATTTTTCTTCGTAAGTGCTGCTGCCAGATATTCTGCTTCATCTTCTGCTAATCCCAAGTTCCGTATGAAATCATTTAACTCAATTTGATTGAAAGTTTGAGCAATATTACTTGATTCACCCGTTGTTGATTATTCATCTTCCGCGTCGATATCATTTTCGTCTTCTTCCCTGGTGGATTCGAAAATATCCTTCTCTTCATATTCGCAGCAGTCTACATCCATAGGTGCCCGAGCATTCAGATCTTTTTCTAATCCCTTTTTTTTTGGTTTTGTAACCGAAAGAAGATTTCAGGGAAGAACAAGGAGAGCGATTCCACCGAGATATAAGCCAAATAGGAAAACGATATCAAGGTAGAAAGGATGACAACATAGTGGCAGATTTCTGTTGGAGGCTAAAAAGAAAAACAGATCGAGAGACTGATAAGAGAAAGAGAAACCTACTCCATAGATCGTTCAAAGAGAAAAAATTATGTTACAAGAGAAAAAGAGAGTAACTGTAAACTCTTTTTCTTTTCGAGTATTTGTTTATTTTTTTATATTTTATAAGATCGTATATTCAATGAAATGATTCTATAGGCAGGTTGAGCGCGTTGAAATACTTGAGAAATATGTTTGACCAGATCGAAACAGTTAAATCAGAATATTTCTAACTCTTGTCTATGTTACATTTAAAATTATCGATTTTTTATGCAGTATTTCAAATTTTTTCTAATTTGGAAGGGTAATAGAGCTGAGAGGAGCTCATATTTAGATTCAGTAAGTCAAGTTACGTAAGAAATGTGCTTATTCTGTGTAGAAACGATCTCATATTCATGATGCTTTTACGCTAAATGATGTCGAATTTTCCCCATTTTTTCACTATTTCAAGAAGTTTTTCGAATTTTCTAAAAGACTTGGGAATGTCCGGTCAATTCTGATAGCAGAATTAGATTGTACGGGTCAAAATACTTGAGAAATATGCTTATTCTAGGTGGAAAAATTGTATGGCTCGATCTCAAATTGAAAAACATCGATTTTCCGTATTTTTCAATGATTTTGAGCTGTTTTTCGACTTTTTCGAGAAACTGGCTGTGTCCGATCAATTCTAATGACAGAATCGAATTCATTGCATCAAAATACATAAGAAATATGTCTATTCTACATGTAAAAAAATTTAAGTGCTCGATGTCTCAGTAAAAAACGTCGGTTTTCCTCGTTTTTTCACGATTTTGAGCTATTTTTCGATTTGGCGCAAGATTTTGGACGTATATTGGCATATCTGACGACAGATTGGGATTCAGCAGATCAAAATACGTAAAAGTACATATCTTTCCAAAAGTACAGACCACTTTTTTTTTGTGTGTCGGTGTAATAAATAGATGTAAGTAATGAAATAAGATTTAATATTAAATGTGAATATTGTAGCTTTGGTGGATGGATAGCTACACGAGCGAGCGGTATGAAGAAAAATGTATATGGCAATATTGAAGATCTTGTGGTGCGAGCACGCATGGTAACTGGTAGATTAGATGATCGACAGATGACTTTAGAATATAAAACCCAAGTACCACGTAAATCTAGTGGACCAGACTTTGATCACATCATTCTTGGTAGTGAGGGTACTCTCGGTATTATTACTGAAATAGTATTTAAAATCAGACCCATGCCAAACATAATCAAGTATGGCAGCATCGTTTTTCCAGACCTTGAAAGTGGCATATATGCTCTTCGACAGGTAAATTTCATATAAATGTATGATACGTATTGAGAAGATTTATTTATGTGTTGCTATATGTTAAAAACGGCATGAAGAATAAGAGAATATAATGAATATAATACATATTCATTCTTATAAATTCTAAGTTAAAAGTTCCTCTATATTATAGGTTATTTCATTTATATAGCTTACGAAAAATTCCAAGCCCTTTCGTCTAAGTACGTTTTTCTTGTAAATCCTATCTTTTAACCTCGCAAACTTAGATGGCAGATAGGTTGTAATGTATATCATTACATTTTTTATATAGCTTGTGATACTGAAAACTGCATTCCTTATCGCATAAACATGACAGCGAGTACAATAATTTTCGAATGCCATTGGTGATTGGATTAAATTATATGACACTAAAGAACTTATAATTCTTCGACAGAAGTAATCGCGGTCTGTCTAGAAAGTTGGTATATGACGATCTGCCTCCAACGTGTTGCAGCTAGACGTTTGAGAGAGGTCGTCAGATCCTTATTAAGGAGTCCAATCTTAGGTGCTTAGACAAAACGCCTTTTTTTGTAAATCATGTCTCCTAACCTCTAATCTGCTGAGTAGACAAGATAATAAATATTATTGCGTAATGAATATATTGTACAGCTCATTATATCTATAATAGCATTCTTTAACAGATAACACCCACGGCTGCGGCTCGTCGGCTAGTCGGTGATACTCAGGGCATGAGGCTCTTCTCTCAGAAGCGGGTACATCGGGTGGCGTCTCTGGACGCCTCGTTGACAGTCTAATAGGTAGGAGAGGCTCCCGATCGTCGACTGATGGCGTGGCTTGCGATAACGATTGTCGGAATGGCAATTAAATTATATGAACGCGCTCGTTAATCTCGGAACCGACCGCGAAAGCTACGGGGGATGAGGTAGTTCAACGGGCGAAGTCAATAAGAACAGTAAATTAATACAGACTCGAGTATATTAACCAATTCTAAGATCCCCGGGTCAACCCAAGGTCAATCGCTCGCGAGGGTCTACCTGATTTAATCCAGTAGGAGCACGAGTGGCACACCACGACGCGACTTCGACTTGGGCAGACGATAGTTGATGCGGACGATCTCGAGGATTGCGAACGTGATTGGGCGAACGTCGAGTTATTTACTTCGCGCACTAAAGCTCAGAGGTTTGTTCGAGACAAACACACGCGCGGGATCGGTCGGTCGCGCGAAGGTCAGTTGCTGCTCGATCAACGTTGTTAGTATCTCAAAGCAATAATCACATAACGAAAAACAGCGGCTAGTGATGCGCACATGGAAAAACTTGTCGGTCGAGCGAAGGTCAGACGTGACTCGCTTAATATATATATCCGATCGACTTCACAAAGGAATTCGTCAACACGCGTATGAGACTCATCGCCCGCGCGAAGGTCGTTCGGCAATCAACGAAAAATTACACAAAGAAACCTACAACAACTAGCGTACGTGGGGGAATCGGCCGGTCACGCGAAGGTCAGGCTTTGTCTAATCGTAACTTACGGGGAAAATCGTTTCGAGAAAATCAGCAATAACTACGCGCACACGGATAATTTACTTTCCGCGCGAAAACGGGGAAAGCTCGTTATCAATAGGCAAATCGGTAAGGTTCGGCGAAGAATTTACGGCATATAGATGCTGCTGCTGCTGCTTATCACTGCTGTTGCTGAGACTGCTGCTCGCTGCTTACTGGGGCTGCTGTTTGCTGCTGCTGCTACTCGTGGCTTGCTCTGCTTCGCTGCTTGCCCCGCTTTGCTGCTGTTTGCTCACTTTGCTGCTCTGCTTGCTCACTTTGCTGCTCTTTGTTCACTCCGCTGCTCTTTGTTCACTCGCGGATTCAGGTGGCTGGTCGGCTCCAGCACTCAGCGAGTACTGGCGCGGCGGTTTTTGGCGACGCGACGCTTCTCTTTGCTCACCTCCCCTTAACGATTATGCGATTGGTCGGCTTGTTGCTAAGCCGGATGTCAGCGCCGTCTATTTCATTATTTATTGCCCGCGTAATTTCGTTATTGGTCGAGTCTTGGCGCCTAATTTCCCTACTGGTTGCAAAGATAGCGTCGGTTTTGTTTTATTCGTTTAACTACCCCTAAGCTGGTACCGATTGGCTAATCCACTAGCGTCGTTCACCTATCCTTGTCTATCGACCGCCCGTTAGTCTTACTGATTCCCCTCACTCGCGTCCGATCGGTCTCGTATCGGTTGTTTCGCTCGCTCTTACGCGCTCGGTTGCTCCTACTTCGGTCTAGCCAGGTCTGCCTTAGTTAAACGATGGCTGAACAGCTGTTTTAAGAGACAAATTTCGTTTTCCTTTTCCGCTCCTCCAAAACTCCACAACTTTTTTCTTCTATTTAAAACTCAATGGATCACTTTGGCTCTTGCAATCGTCTGTCGAAAATTCAGGATCAACAGGAAGTGTATGTAGATCAATATCCTCGACAATAATATCATTAGGTTAGAAATCTAAAGTAGTTTCTACAATCGAATTGACGTTATTATTTAAAACCATCAAATCTAATAATATTGACTGAAAAAGATCTGTAATTTCCACTTCCTTAATATTGTAATTACTTTCTTCAATAACTAGTTGTTGAAAATAAGCGAGTAGCATATTTATCATGTTTCGAGGATTGATTTTCATTTTGAATGCTAAAATAAACATGAAATGCTGGTAAAAATAATTATAAATACAAGAAAAATTTTCAACTTATCTTATCTAGGCTCATAATTAGTCGATGAATAATATTATATTTAAGCATGTGCTCCATAAAGCATTTAACTAGAAAATAACTTGAAGAGACAATATAAAAAATAAACTTATATTATATATAAATTAAGAAAAAATTCACACAAACAGAGAAAAACAAAAATTTTTTGAGAAAAAGATTGTTGAAAAGCAAAGATGAATACGAAAGTTATTTTCAATACGGACATGTAGAATGTCTGATTCAGTTCATTTATTTCTACACATATTTCAATTCAAAATCCATATGTAGCATTCTCGCATCAATATAATATTTTTTACATGACTGAAATATATGACTTCAAACTTACATGCTTTACTATTGTTGAAATTTTTTTGAGACTTGAAATAATATAAATTATAACGAACGGCATGTAAGTTCGTTATGTCTCTCTCTCTCCAGGAAGCCATCAAATAATAATTATCTATAATAATTAAGTATCATGTAAACATGTTTAAGTAATTACAGCGTGGACGTCAGCGAACGGGTAAGTGACGCGACTATCGATCGATCATCGATATCGACTCGCGGCGCGGACCTCGCCGAAAGGCGGCCCCCTTCGAGGAGAGAGAGAGAGGGTAACAAAAAAAAGTAAGTCTGCTTCCGACCGGCAACGGAGAAGCAACCGGCAACGCGAGCTCGCGAATTTCTAGAGAGAGAGCAATTAAGTTAAGCAGATATCCAGGTGACAACCGCCAACGCTGTTCCTGAGGAGTCTTGTGAGCACCCGGTGGTAGCGCCAGTCTGAAAAAGCGTGAACGCAGGAAGCGGTAACGCGAATACCCAATCCTTTATAAGCGAGCGCGCCGTGAGTTACTCACGAGTTAACCATAGAGCGACTCGTCCGTTTCTGCACTGTAAGTACCAGTTTGTTAACTTGGCTTCTCTCTCTCTATGGCTCTCTCCTCCTGCGTTGCTTAAACTGTGTATCCTCATCGCTACTTTTCCGCATAGTTGATTACTTCTTGCCTGTTTTCGTTCGGCCTACGAATAGGATTCCGTTACACGCATACTGTCGCTTCGCCCGGTTTACAACGAGCAAGTGCGGTTGCCGTTTCTATCTCAGTCGAGTTACCGAGATATTTCGACCGGCTAAAGAGCCGACACGAGCAAGCGACGTTACTTTTTCGTTCGAACGGTGTGCGCCGGTTAGCCGTCGCCATGGTGCCTAACCGCTCTTAACATGGCGTGCGCGCGCAAGTCCTCGCTGCGTAGCGTGTGCGTAGCTCGTCGGCTGCAGCGAAGTTCGACGCGAGACCGTCCACGCTGCCGCTTATACTGCGTGCGAATTACGCTACCGTTTGTTTGTTAAATAAATGAATTGAACTCATCCCTTTTGCTGTCTATCATTTTCTTCGATCCCTAGTCGTACATGCGATTACGCGTTTTAGCTTCTCTTTGGCTGTCGCGCCTTGTCACACGAAAGCTTACGACACTCTCCGCGGGCCAAGTTTTCGACTCGAGAAGGAGGCAACTGAGCTGCTGGACCCAGGACGTTCGGTGCAGGAGTGCCGATCTGCTCTGGAGAGCCATTCACCTACTTTTCCGCGGTTACTTTTATATAGCGTGTCCCGCTCGAGCGAAGCTGAGCAGGAACCCCGTTATAAAATATGTATATATTTTTTTCGAACGTTTCGCAAGAATTTCTTTCGCAGAATAGCACCGACTCACAATAAAACATTCGGTTGACTGGCACCAAATAAAAATATACGTGGTAAGCACATGATGATGAAACCTGCTCATTTTTAACAGATAAACAAGTTGAAAACATTTCAGTGACTCACACCAGAAAACTCGTTTCTTCCGAATATAAAACTTATATTAATAATAATATTAATGTAATGCAACTTATGGTCATAATAATGTTGGAGTAATTAATTGTTCGCGTAAATAATTGTAAACGTAATTATTATCAACTTTACTGCTTTTTACAATTACAATATTTAAATAATGTAGCATATTGTTGGCAACAAAATGAGACCTTTTTTTAATATTTAATTTAAAGAAATTAATAACTATTTAAGTAATCAAAAACATATTTTTATTATATTGGAATATGTTTAATGATACGAATAACTAATTTTTATGTATTGTTTCAATTCAAGAAAGCTTCGCTTTGATGGAAGAAATTTTTTAGAAAAGCATCATCGTACAAGTATTGTGTATTTAAAGGTTTATAAAATATTCTATAAAAATGGAGTAATCTTATGAAAATCTAATTTTAGAAGTGAAATTTGATGGTAGTTTTTACC